AGGAAAAATTTTGAGGAACGGAGCACAGATAGAATATTTTCCGACGGTGCAGATAGAATATGGCCAATATGCCCCCCGTGGAGCAAACGGTGCAGATAGAATATGGCCACTATGTTCCCGTGGACAACAAGTATCCAAAGGAAAATATACGCTCCTGTGGAGCAAACGGTGCAGATAGAATATGGCCAATATGTTCCCGTGGATGTCAAGTATCACATTACGTATAGCTTTTTGTTATACCCTAAACCCTAAACCCGAACTCCTAAACCCTAAACCCTAAACCCCTAAACCTAAACCCTAAACCCTAAACCCTAAACCCTAAACCCTAAACCCCAAGCCCCAGAGCCTTTCCTGGCGCCCGAGGCCGCTTCGGCCAAGGCGAGCTGCTCTGCGTTTACCGGGGCGATCTGCTTCCACTTGGGCGGGTGCTCAAGGGCCGCTCGGCTTAGGGTTTAGGGTTTAGGGTTTAGGGTTGAAGATGGTCAGTCCATGTCCGGAGTTGTAAAGGGCTCTACAGGGTTTGTATGAAGTACCAGGTCCGGATTTGTAAAGGGCTCTACAGGGTTTGTATGAAGTACCGGGCTTCGATAAGTATTGCGGGTTTAGGAGACCAGGTGCACAAAAGGGGAGTACTTGAAGGTTCAGGGGTAGTTATAAGTGGAGTTATAAGTAAGCTAACTATACTTATAACCCATGTTAGGGGACTTATAACCCTACTTATAACTACCCATGAACCTCCAAGTAAAGGCATACCCGTGGCACCCTCGGCCCCAACTAAACCGCGCGGTAAACGGCAAGACCCTTGCTGAAGTCCTTGTAACCAAATCCTTCGCCAATCTCAGATCTCAGGGCCTAATATAGTACCCTAAATAATGGGATCCCTATTATAAGGACCCCCAAATAAGGTACCCCTAAACCCTAAACCCTTCTCAGGGGATGTCGAGAACAAAGACTACTTGATGGGAGGCTTCGGAGTGTACAGCGCCTTGCTTGCAGATGCCTTTCGCGGCCCTGTGCAGTAGCCGGCGACCCTCTCTGGTCATAAAGATTTGGTCACTGCATTTTAGGGCTTTGGGTTTAGGGTTTAGGGTTTAGGCTATCGGGTTTCGAAGTCAGATTTCTTCTTAGAGCTGTGGAAGAGGTGGGCTCCATTTTCTCAAAGTGGTTGCAGCCTGGTGACGGATGGCAGCAGTGTCCGCGAGGTTCTTTGCTCCAGAATCCTTCTCAGCAGCCTTAAAAGGCACATCCTGCGCTTGAGGTGTGGATGCTTCGCATCATCCCGAAGTACTGGCCCGCTACATCAATGACCACGTAGAAGCCTCAGCTACCAGACTTTTCTGGTACACGGTATGCTTGGAAGTCGGGCGAAGTAGGGAATGAAGGACCTGTCCCCACGAGTATGGCCAAAATCGTTGTAGCCATACATGAATGCTTCAGTGATCTACCAAAAATAGTACGTTCGGATGTTTAGCTTTGGGCAGTGGAGGTTTGGGGGTAGGAAAGGATGCATGCAAGGTGCCTACATAAATCCATCTGAATCCCCCATGGTGTTCTCTCCAAATCTGTAGTCCTCTCTTTCTGATCCTTAAGAATTGGGAGAGAGCTCCCATCTCGATGTGGTTGTCAAGGCAGACGCGGAGCATCACAACGCCAAGTTTGTGAAGCTCAAGAGGCTGGCATGAATATCGAAGACCGACTAATAACCTTCTTCCGAACTGGCAGGGTGTAGGATATTATACTATAGCTGCAAAAAGGAACTTCGAGAACAGTATTGGTAATCGTTTAGGACCCTAGGGTAGTTCAGTGCACTTCAGCTCCGGCTTCGGCGTGCCAGGCGTCCGTGAAGTTTTCGAAGTTCTAAGTGCCGATAATGTAGGGGCCTTAATAATTAGAATAGGGTTTCAGGGGTATATCATACTATATCAAGGAGCCCCCCCAAAATAGTACTTGTATCGAGAATTATGTAAGCCCCGGCATTACTCCACGGAGGTGAGCCGTCAGACTTTTTGACCGGTCCTGCTGCATCCTTCTTATGTGGGGCTCTGCACCCTGCACCATGGAGGCTGCACACAGGCGTGACAAGAGGGCTGGGTGCAGAGTGAAGGCAACTGGCCCTGGGCTACTGTCTGCACGTCGCCCTACGGTCACCCTCATAAGGTGCTTTGACCACCAACACAACCACCAACCTGAAACCGTACTCGTCTAGGGCCGGAGACCCTATTATACCCACACTATGCTGTCTCCACCGCATTTCGAAGAACAAGTGAAGGTCTTCGTAAGACATTGGCCAGGGAGCGGAAGGCATTAGTCCTCGCCACGCGCGACATCGAACAGGATGAAGAGGCCATACCGCTTTTGGTTTTCTCGTTGCGCATTGTCGTGGTGATCATGAGCAAGATACTGTTGCTGCTGTTCTGATGGCCGTGATGATGGTGGTGGTGCTGATCGGCAGGGTAGATGACTATCCGTGCCTCCTACCGACCATTGCTGACACCTGCAGAAGTGGCCATGAGAATGGCCGTACTGGTAGTGGTTATGACGATGAGTAGGTTGGTAATGGTAGTGACGATGCTGATGATGGTGGGATGCTTGCGCCAGGGATGATGATGTTGTTGCTGATGCTGATGGTGGTGATGATGCAAGTGACCGTGAAGAAACAGATTGGAGTCGTTGCGATGGTGATAGTAACGAGGACGAGGACGATTCATGGTGAATGATGCTGCTGTTGCTGATGCGGCTGATGATGACTATGTTGAGGAAAAACCCGTCGTGACTTTGGTGGGTGCGGATGGTGATGCTGATGGTATTGATGACGAGCTGGTTCGTAGCGGGGACTCTTTAGTAATTAGTTCTTGATGTTTTGGTCGCAAATGCAGCGCTGATGATGGTGGCATGAAAGTGGTGATGTCCACACCACTCTTGCCGCCACCATAACAACAACAGCGGCGACAACAAGAACAGCGACAACTACTCCTCGTCCTACTGCCACTCCTAGTCGCACTCCCGCTACTACTATCACTACTACTATCACTACTACACTACTACTATCACTACTACTACTACTACTACGACGACGACGACTACTACTACTACTACTACTACTACTACTACGGCTACGGCTACGGCCACGGCTACGGCTACTGCTACTGCTACTGCTTCTGCTACT